CAATGTGCTGGGCGCCTTCTCTGTTGAAACTTAAGGTTTCTTTGAACTTCAGATTTCTCAGCTATAACCTGAGGGGTTTGGATGATCTGTCCACAGTCTCTTTTCTTGCTCTAAAAGTCTTTGACTAATTGATATTAAATGAACTTTCTATTTCAAAATACTGAATGTGGTCATCTATCATTAAGTAGATCATTGTTATGTTGGATGATATAGCTGTGCTTAATGAATCAATCAATGAATTGATTTGGCTGTAATTAATGAATTTGGTCAAATTACAAGTGAAGCACCTTGTTCTCTTTTCATGATTTAAGTGAACTTACTAGTGACTTTACATAGAAATCTTAAAACAAGAAATACATGCATAGATATCCAGCCCCTCATGGACCAGAGAGGGTTTGGCTGCAATGTGGGGCAGCTTTTGTACTGGAGATGTGGTTACAAATATTGCAACATGATAACTCTCACCCAGAAAACCCACCGCTCAGTCCAGAGCTAGGTCTCCACCCTGGTCCCAAGGTTCTAACTCGAGTTGACTCTACTTCAAAGGAAGGAAAGCTTGTTTGGCCAAAAACCCATGGAGCATCGGTTTCAGGAATGTGACATGCTGTTAAACCACAGCCGTGTAAGCTTGTGGCCTCTGAGATTTTCCAAGGATAAAAGTTTCGTTTTTCAAAGAAAAACATGACACCATGTAAATTGGAGAAATATAAGGTAAATGGTGTCAGTTGGCCCCAGGAAGCTTTCTCTCCCAAAGAGCACCTACTATGTATAAGTATATTGTGGGGGAGTGTGGGAGGAGTGTGAGCATGGGCCAAATTTACATGATTAGAATGATAAGACACACTTTCTGGCCTTGAGTAGCTTTTCAGAAGGCAGAGAAAAAAGACAGTTGGGATGGGCAGAGTCCAGTGTCCATGCATGGCATTTTGGGAGTGTTGGAAAACACAAGATGTTACCCCTGAGGCTACTGAATGGTCATCACGGAACAATAGCTACAAGATTTCAAGAGTATATTGCAGCCAGAAACAACAGATCACATGACACTCTGCCTCTGAGATCACAGGTCAGTCCCCCTGCACTCGCACCTCCACATCTGGCCCTGGGGTTGGACAGAATGATCACTAAGGACTACTGAATGTGCTGGAAGAGAATGTAAGGTGTCTTATCTTCCTAGATTGGAGTTAATCTGCATTTCAAAGTAAAGTAGGTATCAGAGGAACTGAATTAATATAGTATCAAGTTTCAGAGCTTCCCAACTTTTTAATTTTAGAAGAGAACTTGGAGTGTCATTTAATCCAACTTCATCCTCTATGTCATGATCCCTATGACAGCTTGTTTAGTTACCCAGCCACTGTTTGGATGTCTCTTCTGATGGGGAGCTTGATCTCTCACAAGGTAGCCTGTTTTATCACCAAAGGGCTCTAGTTGCCTCCCTACATAGTGTTCACATCTCCTTTCTTCTACCTCAGCCTCCTATGTGTTCTGTTCTTCAGAACAGGACCTGTATTTACAACTGCATTCGAGACATCACAACCATTCTAAACAGCTTTTGTTCCTCCCATGATGTTTTTACAGGATGGCCCCAGAACTTTGCTAAGGTCATCTGAACACCGATAGGTTGCCCATGTTCTTGGAAAACTGGGATCATTGCTCCCTCAAAACTGGGAGCAATTGGCTGGGGATTTAGCTCAGTGGTTCCACTGCCTGCCTCGCAAGCTCAAGGTCCCAAGTTCAATCCCGGTACAGAAAAGAAACAAAAACAAAAAAACTGGGAGCAATTTTCTAGGTGGAGTAAGAGCAGTGATGGCTAAATTTTTGGAGCTTTCAATGGTAATAAACAGCCCCCTGAGGAACATGTTCCATAGGTTCTCCACCGCTAAGAACATCCAGGTGAGATCATGGGCAGCCTGGGGGAAAATGCTGAAAACTTGGGCTGGCTGCCCCTAGAGACCACAGAAGACTGGTAGCTGGTTCAGGAACTGAAAGACAGTCCAGGTCAACCCAGCCTGGGGTGACCCCTTCCAAAGGGACCAGCCAACCTTGACCAAGTCTTTCGTGGAGTACTTGCTGAACTGTGGGTATGCTTCAGCCTCTTCTTTTCTGGGGTCAAAGCTGCCTTGGGACAGGGTATGCGGACACTGCATTTCATGGACACTGGTGGAAAAAAAAATCACTGGACCCTGAGCTTGGCATAGAAGGGGGAAGCCCGCCTCCTTGTGGACCACTAGGGCATAACAAGGTGCGAAAAGCAGTGAAACCACCCAGAAGCTGAAGGGTCTGGAGGGAACAGCCATTTCATCTCACAATTTCCATTTCACCAGTCACCTTTGATAGCCTGCAAAAGAATTGATCTGCACTGTGGCAGAATTAGGGAGGGGTGGAAGAAGACATGAAGTGAGTTGCAGACCACTGGGTTTGATGTTTGACTACAGAAGTTGGAAAGCTATCAGGCAGGTAGTATTAGCTGTTTTTGTTTTTTTTTTTAAAAGAAAGGGCTGGGTGCAGTGACACGTGCTACTCAGGAAGCTGAGTCAGCAAGATGGCAAATGTGAGCCTAGTTTGGGCAATTTAGCGAAAGGCTCTGTCTTGAAATTAAAATAAAATATAAAATAAAATAAAATGAGCTGGGGATATAGCTCAATGTGAAGGCCCTGGGTATGATCCCCAGTACTGCCAAAGAAAGTAGAAAGAAAGAAAAAAAGAAAGAAAGAAAGAAAGAAAGAAAGAAAGAAAGAAAGAAAGAGAGAGAGAGAGAGAGAGAAAGAGAGAAAGAAAAGTGTTTTTAAAAAGAGAGAAAAAATAGGCATTAAGAGACCTTTTCTGGTTCTACCACTTGCTGTGTGGCCTCAGGCAAATCACAGTCCATCTCTGGGTCCCCTAGGGCTGTGCAAAATAAGGGCTAAAATCCTTAGGAATGCTAAACCATGAGGCTTTCATATCAGCATCTTAAGAGTGGTCTGTCATTGGTGGTGCCATACCTCTGACTGGAGACAAAGAGGGTAAGAAAGGTGACAAGAGCAAAGGGCATTTGGGAAAGGATGTACAGGGCTCCAACTTGCCCAGTTTGATAGATCTGACCCACAGCCTAGAGAACACAGCCTGTCTATCACTGTGCAGACCCCTGGGAATCCTCATTTCCCTCAGCTGAGCACCCCTCCCCCCATTTTAGACCTGGACGCTGGTACCTATGCCATAAAACATGTATGCTCTGGATGTGACCCAGACTTATTTTATGTTCAATACAGCAACCCACAAATGTTCAGTCAGATTCACACTCTTGTACTTCTAAACGGTCTTTATTCAGCCCTCAGCACATCATCAAAGATTGGGTTTTTAACATTTTTTGAGGTAAATTCTGTACAACTCTGTAACTGATCGTATAATTGAGCTAGAAGTAACCCTGGGAAAGGCAAACCAGAAATGCTTTCCTTAAAGTTTTCCAGATTTAAAAAAAATGAGTACATTTAAAAAATTGAATTACGTATTAAAATGGCTCAAATTTCTTACTGCATTATGCTTATCATATACAGGGTGACATAGTCACCAAAAAAATTGTTGTTAAAGACAAACTGTTCTCAGTCAAAATGAAAAGTGTTGAAACATTTTTAAAATGACCTTGTAAAAATTATCTGAAATAATGATACCCTTAGGCTAGTGTGCTTCTAGCTGGAATGATCTAGGGTAAATGTAATGAGGCAGAGGGGTCATCTTTTCACACTACAGAATGCCAAAACTTTGGCTGAAAGTATGAAAGCCTGCTTCATTTTTTAAATGGCCTTATAAGGCTATTATAAAGCATTAGAAGTTATTATATAAATACTCTAAAAATCAGAGGATTCCAACAATAAGTACAACCCAAGTTCCACCTACATACTAAACTCAGGTAAAACATGCAACTCTAATTGTAGACAGAACCCCATTCAAACACCCATTTAGACCACCCGGTTTCTGTGGCATTGCCAAATTCTAAAATTGTAATGACAATTTTAAAGTCCAAAACCTACAAGCCATCAGAGGTTCCGTAAGCAGATTGTGCCATTTCAAAATGGAAAATGTGCTTGCATAAGCAAGTCACCAGGCTAACCTCTCTGGATTGAGAGTCTGGCCTTCAGTTCAGAACATGGCCGTGTCAGGGTCAGAAATGTGACAAAACTGCTCTTTCACGGAGGTTAGCCAAGGTTCACAGGGTCATGACTGGGCCATTTTATCAGTCATGTCAGGCTCACACCCCATTGCCTGGGATAGATAAAAACTTTATCTGTCATTTTGCTAAATCTGCTCCTCCTGCCTCATTTTGAATAAAGAAAACCTGGGCTCAGCTTATCTAAACCAGAGACTTGCCTTTCTCAGCACTGTTTTCATATGCAACTTCTAAGAAAAGGTGACATATCAGTGACTTTTTGGTCTCATTTTAGTCAAGAACTGTCCAGACTTAGAGTGACTGCTTTCTTTTGTCTACAACCTTAACTTTGGAGAGCAGTTCTGATTCTGTTGGACCATATAGGTTTTTTAAATTGAATGTTAGATACACTGAAAGTGTTATATTAGAATGATATTTCTCAGTCAGTATGTAACTTTTTCACAATGATCTTTCTCTAAAATGAAGCAAAGAAAAAAAAACCTTAAAATTACATTAGTTTTGATCCCCAGAAGAACCAAAACTATTTTCTAATTAAAATTACTTGCCTACCACATGTGAGGCCCTGCATTCAATCCCCAGCACTGCAAAAATAAATAATTTAACTAAATTAAACTTACAGATTCTTTTTCAAATAGAGAACCCAAATTATCTTAGAAAAATTTGCAGCAGACTTTTTTGGACTAACAGACATACATAATTGTTGGGAGGGAAAAAACCTGAGGTTTCTTCCTTACAGAAAACAGGTATGCACAGATGGCAAATAAACCCAGGTAGACATTTAGCCATCTGGTTCAATACACTAAGTACAAAGATTAAAACAGTAAATTTTCCCCAAAAAGAATCTTAAATGCAAGAAAAGCACTTTCAAATTTTACTTTATTTGGAAATTATACAAATTATTTTAACATTTAAAAACCATGATACTATAGTAGAAACACATAAATATAATATACATTTAGAAATTAAATATAATAAGTCAATATGACACTATATAAAAACTCATATGTACACTTCCAATAAGCCTGAGGTTTGCACATTCATGCCCATCAGATTTCTCCCTGGAAATGGATGAATCTTGCAGGGAGATTGTCCACAGGATACACGGTGGGGTTGGTTTTCATTGTAGGAGGTCCATTTAGAAGCCGCCAGTCACAATGCCTGGCCAGCTCTACCGTAAATATTTTGAGAAGAATTTTTGCAAACTCTTTGCCTACACAGCTCCTAAGGCCTCCTCCAAATGGAATGAAGCTGAACCTGGATGCATCCTCTGGGTGAGGTGGCATAAATCGCTCCGGATTAAATTCCTCCTTGTTAGTGAAGATATCTGCCACATCATGAGTATCACAAATACTGTAGATAACATTCCAGCCTTTGGGAATCTGGTACCCCTGTAAAAGATCATGAAGTACCATGAGATGACAAACTAGAATTTAGCTTTCAACCACAAAAAGCTATCTTAGACATCCTTGGGGGTACTGTGAGTTTGAAAAGAGGAGAGAGGGAAAAAGAGATTCATTCAGGTTACTGAAACAAGTCCACATGCTGCAAGACAATGTTATCAAAATATAGGGAACTTAAGCTAATGATCAGGGAAACAAAGGTAGGTTTAAAACCACCGGAGCAGGATGAAGGTGCAAAGGGAGAACTCTTAACTTACATTTAATTCAAAAGTCTTCAGAGCAACTCGAAACCCTCCTGGAACTGGGGGATTCAGTCGGAGGGTCTCCTTAATAACACACCCAATATATTTAAGTTGTTCCAAAATTTCCATGTCCAACTTATTGTCTTGATTGCTCTTGCAAAGTAAGCCCTGTCAAAACAGTCATTCAGAGGTGAATAGTTATTTTCCAATCCAATGAAATCAGTTCAGCAGACGTAAACAGGACTAAACTCAAAAGGACCTCTTAATGGGAGAGTGTGTGCGGAAAGAATAGCTAGTGACCATTTGCACCCACATCCACTATCTCTTTACAATGCCAAGAGAATTCTGCTCACCAGATAAAAGGCTCAAGCTCCCTTACTCATACACACTCACTACCACTCCCCACCTTGATGAGCTATTTGCACTGATCACACTATTCGTGCCCTTGAACAACCAAATCTAAGGAAGTGGAATCTATCTGCAAAAGGTGAAGGATGAGGGGCCAGGGATGTAGCTCAGCTGGGAAGTGCCTCCCTGGCAAGTGCAAGGCCCCAGTACCCCCTCCCCCCAAAAGGTGAAGGGTGAGCAGGAATACAAGACCAGACTTTGCCCAAGTGGGAGCACAGCTCAAGATTCCATTCTTTTCAATTCACAAAGCTGGCTCTCTCCCTGAAATGGCTCACTTACATTGGCCCTGCACTTCAAAAATATTCAGCAAAGGTAGCTCATTTATTCACTGGGAAATTGGTGAGGGAATAGCTGAATTTCCTAAATTAATAGGGAACCCCTAGACTCCTCCTACCTTACTCTTTAGCTCCTCTCTAACTTTCCGGAGAACATGTGGGTAGAGCCCCAGGTAAGTGATCAGAGATGTTGCTGCACTGGCGGTGGTTTCATGTCCTCCAAAGAGAAGCTCAGTTGAAGATTGCTTTAGTGCCTAAGAATGAGGCAAGGACGTTTTTTACTACTGTGTGGGCCAGGAAAGTAGCTCAGGGGCACTTGCCTAGCATATGCAAGGCCGTGAGTTCAACCCCCAGTGCTCTGGGGGAGGGGATCTACATACAGTTTTACAGAGGGATTACTGAGAATGGAGGAAAGACTAGAAGGGCTAAAAGGTTTGCTGATAGAAAACAAGGAATTCAACATCATTAAACAAAATGCACGGTTTAGTTCGGTTAGAGACAGAAGGTGAGTAAGAGTCCACTCTTGGGGGACCTCCTGGACCACCTTGGATTTATTAAAATAGCCCAAAGTTCTTTATTAACATTTTGCAAATTCTGCCTTTCCCTTTGAAACTTGGAGAGACTACGAGACAGTCCCATTTCCACGACAGCCTCTTCCAAAGCTTTCCAGACCGAATGTCAACCTTTGAGATCCCAAGTCTGGGCAGTTTGCTGAGAAGCTGGGCCCCAGGAATCGCCCTGGGAAACCCAGGGAGCCAAACTGTGGGTGCCCCTTTTGAGGCTACCACTCACCTGCATATCCAGCCGCTCTCCCCTGTCCCAGGAGTGCTCGATCAACAACTGCAGCGCGTCTTTGCAACCCTCGCCCGTCTCCGCAGCCCGCAACCGGCAGATCTTGGCGCGAATGTTCTCCTCGATACGCGCGTGAATGAGATTCCGTGCCTTCATGCCCTGAGCTCAGAGGGTGGGTGACAGTGAGCATGCACTGCTGTACCCCTAGCTTCTCACCCTGAGTAGCACAACCCTAGATCCTCACCCAGCCTGCCGCTCTTACCCGGTATAGTCCACTGAAGGGCACGTCGATGGGCAGCGAGAAAAGATTGCGGGTCATCTCCTCAAAGGCCTCCACTAGCTGCTGCTCTGCCTCCCCGCCGCCCGCTCGCTGGGGCTCGCAGCCTAGCAGGATGCGCATGGCGATGCGGAACATGAGGCGCTTCACCTCGGGGTAGACCAGGAGGCCGCCCTCGTCACAGCTCAGCCACCTCTCCAAACAACTGTTCACTTCTTCAGTGATCACCGGCACGTAGCACTGGAGTGCCTCTCGGCTGAAGGCCCGCATAATCACCTGAGCCCCGAGAAGCCGAGAGCTTTAAAATTCTCTTTGCCCCTCTCTCCTTCCTGTGTCCCCTTTTCACTCTCAGCCTCTCCAACGCACCTCGAGGCTGGGAAAGCTACAGTGGAGTTCGGAGAGGGTTCTAGTCCACATTTCATACTGCTAGTGCTCGCCCAGCATCTGTCTGCCGAACCTCTCCAATGAATGCGGTTTCCCTTCCCTGCCCAGTAGTCGCCACCCTGCTCTCACCTTCTTGTGCTGCTTGTGCGAAGAATCGTGCAGGTTGGAGAGGCAGCCAGAGCCCAGGATGGTGCGTACCGACGCTGGCCAGTGGACCGACACCAGCCGGTGCTCTCCAAGCAAGATGCGACGCACGTTGTCCGCACCCATCACCCGCACAGTGGGCCGCCCAAACAGATGTGTCTTGTAAATGAAGCCGTATTTCCTGCGCTTCATCTGCAGGAACTTCCTCCGCTGTGAAAGGAAGGTGGAGAGGAGAGGCGGGAGTGAGAGGGCACCAGGGGCGTCGCGCCTCTGGCTAGCCACCTTCTAGCCGCAGTCGCCTCCCTCACCGGGACGCCTACCCCACTCCAGCGGAGGCTGAGCTGGGCTCCGGGACGGCGTCTTGTCCCGCCCCAAGCTCCCTTACCTGCAGCACCATCTGTAATGTTTCCCCAAAGAAAGGGAAACCCATAGTCCCGGGGGGTAAGGGGAGGGCGCAGCTGCGGTCGCGGCTGCTCACGCAGTACAGGTCCCACAGCTTGATCGCAGCCAGGAAGAGCAGCAGCGGTAGCACGAAGGTGCAGAGCGCACTGGCCAGCAGCGCGGGGAGCCCCATGGCACGCTTCAGCCTCCCGCGCCACCTGCTGCCGCCTCCAGCGCTCCAAACCCCGCCGCGGTCCCGCTTTATAGGCGGCCCAGGTTACCTTGTTCAATTAGTTCACCCAAAGTTCATCTTTAATTGCGGATTGGGCCCCTGGCTCCTCCCCCCGCGAGGCGCTGCCCAAAATGTTTAACCGTTTGTTCCGCGCCAAGGCTGAGGCGGCGCGGTGGCGGCTTCCCTCGGCGCGCGCCTCCTGGGGTGCGGGGCAGGAGCACCGCCTCCCGCATTCAAGGTGAGCACGCCTCGCGGGGAGTGGAGGGATTAGGGGGGCGAAGAGCAGAAAGTCTGAGCCCTACCTAGACTTTTAGACGGTCTCGTTGGACTCCCTGCCGCCGGTCCGACGGGCCACCCCGACCCAAAGCCGCCTTCGCTGCCTTTCCGTTTACAAGCGCCACGTGGGCCCCTTTCCACCTGCTGGGGAAGCAAGGGGATATGCGTTCAGGAATCATCGTCCAGTGGAGCGAGACGGAGGCTTCCCGAGTCTTCGGAGGATCCGAAGAAGAGCCCAGGGTCATGATTCAAGCAAGAGATATGGGGAGTCAGTATGTCGGGTGGGTCCTGGATTCTAGCTCACCACCACCACTCCGCAAAGAAGCCAGCACTCACGATGTCTTGCAAGGTCCTACTTGAGAGTGCAAGTAAGCCTCCAGGTCCGTCGGGACCCCAGGCGCCACTCTACACAATTCCGATGCCTCAGCGACGAACAGCATGGGCATTCATCCATGGCTAGAGATTCGAGGCTGCATGATGTTGCCACGCCGGCGCTATCCTGGTGGCCCTAAGGCTTGCAGCCACCACCTAGGCAGCAGGAAAAGGGTCCTTTGCCCTAGCAGGGTAAGAAGACGGAGACAGAGGAAGGAAACCTCAGGAGTCCTTGCTCCAGCTCTATTCGCCTGACCTTGAGCGAGTCACCATGACACATCCTCGCACCCATTTATTCATCCATCGGTTAGAAGCGGTCTTCCAAATGTCTGTACCTCAGGGCAGTTGTGAGTTCCCAAAAGGTGGCCTCTGGTTGTAAATACTTTTTCCAGCTCCCAGCTCCACGAACGCCAGGCTGCTCTCCCCTGAATGCGAGGCTCTGGACCCTTCCTTGATCCCCCAAGCTCTCATCCGGTGTAAAGCCACCATCCTCACCCTGATGAGAGCTACTTGGCCCTTAACCCAGGCCTCTGCTGGCTGATAACGAGAGGGTTGAGGGAATTCATACTGGGGAGCCCATCCTCCCGACTCTGCCCAACTTCAATCAGCGGCTCCTGTAGCCAATATCAGCTTGGACACTGCGGTATGGACTTTCCATCTGGCCGGGCCACACTGCTTAGGACCAGTCAGGGACTCGGGCTGCTTTGGTTTGTGCACTGATCGCAGCAGGGAGACAGACAACGAAAAAGAACGGCAGACATCTGTTTAGAACAGGCTCTCAGAGTAGCGAGTCGATGCACCTTGGAAAGCGTCCCTTGGAAATGGAAAACTCTTTGATCCTGAGAGCTATTAAATACGTGGCCCTCCTGCGTGGCCCCCAACTTGGAGGGAGTCAAGAAATATCTACGGAGGTCCTAAGGACCCGTACAATTTCAGTAACGCTCCAAACCGGGGTCGCTTCTGGGCGTTTTTCCCGATCTAGCGTTTCCGCTCTAGGGAGGCCCTATCTCCCACTGCCATTTCTTCCAACCAGCGAGGGGCTGTAAACAGGGGAAGCCAACTTCTGGGCAGTAGCTGGAACCCTGGCAAATCGAGCTAGAGGTTATTCTCAGAAATCTCGGCCCGCCCCTTTCTGTAAGGCGCCTTTGCCGGTGTGCAAAGCTGGCGAGCGCAGGGCGTGACCTGAGGCCCATTTCCAAGCTCAGGCCTGACCCGCCTGTGACCCCTGCAGGCCGGACTCTGACATCCGAGTGAACTCTGCGGGGCCACCTCGCCAAGTTCAGCGCGCGCCGGGCCACAAGATGAGGGCACTGGAAATTGCCACAGGGGGGACAATTTTTTAAAATATAATTTACCTGCCCATTGAGACCCGCGGGGGCGTTTGGCAGGAAAAGATTATATGTGAGAGTAAAAGATCATTTAAAAACATCTTGAAGATGGAGAGGGAGAGTCAGTAAATTACCAACTCAGTAAGAACTTCGATCTAGAAACCTGGCCAAGTTTTCTTGTGCTGTGGTGGTGGGGTGGTTGCTTAAAAACAAAATGTTTCCAAAATATTTATAAAACAGCCTTCCTATTTTGAAGGGCCCTCCCCAGCCTCAAGGGGAGGAACGAGAAGCTAGAGGTATACGGGGTGCTAGACAGAGTAGGGCAGCCTAAGCACCTGTCCTTCACTTCTCTCCCTTTGGCCCCTTCCTCTTCTTCCTGAATACCTATTGGGTCTGAGGGTTTCAGACCTACTGTTCCCTCTACTTGGATTGCCCCTCCCTCAGGGACGGCTGTCTCCTTCCAAAATCAGTGTCACTTCCGCAGAGAAGCTCTACACACACACACACACACACACACACATACACACACACTGCAGAATTTAGCCCAGGGCACTCTGTGTTACAGGCCTGTTTTATTTTCTTTACAGCATTTATCACCACTGGACAGATTCTTGCTCTTTTTTGTTTTCTAATCTATTTACTGTCTGCTTCCAAGAGCATATCAAATCCAGGAGGGTAAATCAAGTCTAGAAGGCCAAATGACCACACCTGCTCCTTCCCCTGACAACATGGAGCTACTAAAACCAGATGTAGCAATGGATAATTAGAGTAGAACTGGAGCCAAAACTACAGGCTTATAGTTAGGCCAGACCCCAAAACAAGAAAACCAAGTCCCTGGGAACCAGATTAGCTATCCTGGCTTCTGACAAGCCCCTCTTCATATTTCTCTTCAGAATTAACTTTCAAGTGAGGCCCTTGGGTCTCCTCTCCCAGACCCATGCTTTTCAGACCAGGATGTCCTCAATGTTTTCAAAAGCAGCCCTGGGGGAAGGCCTGCCTCAGGCCACCTTTGCTGCCTCCTGTGCCTGCTGAGTTTAGGGCCTGGACCTGCGATGACCAAGGATGATGAACTGCCCTGTATGAGGGTTATGGTGCTATCAGCCTGGCTCAGAAGCTCCCTCCGCCCATGCTCTGGAGCTCCCAACCCCATGTCTCCTGCATCCCCTTTTCTTTCAGGCCCCCAGATCCACTTTAAGCATAAGGTCAGGAGGGCAGTGGTTTCCTTCTGGTTCACTAAGGGGTCAGCTAAGGCCTGGGTGGCAACTTTCTTGGCTTAACAGTCATGTCCAGCTGCCCAGGCCTCTGGGAAGATGGGTGGCAGGTTGAAGCAGGTTGGTGGCACAGAAGCCCTTGACTTTGATTTAAAGTGAGGAACCCCTGGGTTAAAAAGGAACAGATAGGCAGGGGATTTAGCTCAATGGCACCACCGAACCTGCCTTGCAAGCACATAAGTCCTGAGTTTCATGCCCGTACCAAAAAAAAAAAAAAAGGAAGATAGTAGTTAGGTCAGGCTGGGATACCAATGAAAAGGCCAGCTGGGGATTTAGCTCAGTGGTTTCGCCACCTGCTGTGCAAGTGCAAGGACCTGAGTTCGATCCCTGGTACCAAAAAAAAAAGAGAAAAGGCCAAAGGGCTGAATCCTACACGGGCACAGGTCCAGAGGGTACAGCAGGCAAGATAAATGATAGAGTGGAGGCAAGTTCTGGCCCACAAATCCACTGCTGGCTCCTCAGGCATTAGTCTCTCTGCTCCTCAGTTTTTCTGCAATAGGATACTGAAGCAGTAGACTGGAAAGTTTCAGAAGCAAGCTTGCAGTGGATAATTCAAAGCTGAGTTTCTAGGACTATGTTCAGAAGGGAAGTCACCTTTGACTTCCTGGTCCCTTTGGGACCAGGGATGCCCAGCTTCTGGCCTCTCTCTTGATATGCGCTGGGGTGGGTCCTTCAGGTAGGTCCTTCCTGGGCCTCCCCTGCCCACCACCTGCACCTTCCCACCAAGTAGCAGCTTCCCAGATAAGCCCTAGCCTTCTTGCTCAATCGCTGGCAAGAAACTTTATTTTCTGGCCTTCCTGTTTTTGGTACAAATATCCCAAACCTTTCTGATTATATCTCAACCTCTCATGAAGGGATTATGTCCCAACGTCCCATGAACCAGCCTTACAGACTCTGCTGTGTACCTATTCTTTCCTGTATAAATGGGGAGATTAAATGCGTTCTTGAAGAAGGAATTTTTCTTTTAAGAAATCTCCAACAGATCCGGTGATATTGAGCCATTTAGAGCCCTGGCAGCGCACACAGTTCTAAGTTTCCGCCAAGTTGGGAGAGTGGCCAAAGCACAGGAAGCCAGAGGCCAGCTGCCTGGGGGTCTTCTATTGGTCACTCTCTTGGGCGTGTCTTCCTATGGCCCATCATCAGGTCAGGGTCAGCCCTCAGCACCCGGACTTCCTCCAAAGGGTTGGAGGTGCCGTTGCTGGCACCAGGTCTCTGGCACTAGGTGTTACCCCCTTCGCCCCCCCCCCAACCCGCGGGTCTGAGATCCACGGACTTCCTCCGGATTGCCGCGGGAAGGTGGACTGGGGCAACACCTAGGGGCAATCGGTTCCCTCCATCCCTGCTTTGAGATCTTGGGATGGACTTAAGGGACTTGATGACCCACATCTTTCCTCCTGGCTTGGAGTGCAGCCATCACCTTCCCACTGGCCAGAGCGGGTGTCTTGTGCGGTGACTGTAGCTCGCTCCTCCTACAGTACCCAGCAGCGTTAGATTAACGTTTACTGAAAAAGTGACCCGGTGAACGTGCACACGATGCGTTACTGAGGCGCTGCTGCAGTCACTGGGCAAATCTGGAAGCGCCGCTGATCAGAGGTGTACCCCGTTACCAGTAACCGAAGGTGCAAGAGGATGGAAAAAGAGGCGCAACCCGTCCACTGGGTGGACGATGGGCACCGTTTGCATGGCGGGGAAGGCGGGTGTGGCCAGCTCCCAGCGCGCGGTGCGCACCAGCTCCACAGCTAGCAGCTGCAGTACCGCCTGCGCCAGCTCCTGGCCGAGGCAGCGGCGCGCACCACCGCCGAACGGGATGTAATGGAAACGTCCGGGGTTGCCCGGCTCATCTTCACGCGCCGCGCCAAAGCGCTCCGGGTCGAAGCCTTCGGGGGGGCTACTGTATACCGTGGCCGTCTCATGCGTGTCCCGGATGCTATACATCACGCTCCAGCCTTCGGGGATCTGGTAGCCCTGCGAGGAAGCAAGGAGACCGGCCTGACTACGAGACATCTGGAAACGGACCCCGAACCAACCCACTACCAAAACAGGCATGCGAAAGCCAGTAGGAATCCATGATCAACGCAGAAGCCAGCATTAAAATGTCAGCCTCTTCACTGGTGAGCTGTGTGACCTTGGGCTTGACAATCTTTGTGAGCCTCAGTTCTTAATTGATAAAATGAGAACAATAATGCTCATTTTGAGCCAGCCGTGGTGGCAGACACCTGTAGTTTCAGCTACTTGGGAGGCTGCCGCGGAGGGTCCCAAATTCAAGGCCAGCCTGGTCAATTTAGTGAGACCCTGTCTCCAGTACCAAAAGAGGGGGAAACCCACTTTGTTGTGAGGATTCAAAAAACGGGTCAGGAACTTACTAATATTTAGTAAATGGGATCTATTTTTTAATGTTTGCTTTTTTATCTTTCTCTTTTCTTCTGAGATTAGGTCAGGAAACCTATATTCTAGTCCTACACCTCTCAGCTGCCTGAGATGGTCCAGCTGACCAGATCCCCCAGTCCTCTAGGTCAATTCCATTATAAATTTCTTTGTCCTTCTCACTCATCAGCTGAACAATAATGTTCAAACCTGGTAGCCATACTTTAAGACCACGAGAAACTAGAAAATCCGTAAAATGTTGTAAGGCAGCTTCCAGGTCCCTTTTGCTCACCTTCAGCTTTTCCAATCATTTCTGCTGCTTTATTTCCCCCCTTTGGTGCCAAGGCCTCATACATGCTAGGTAAGAACTCTACCACTGAGCTGTATCCCCAGCCCACTCAGCTCTGTATGTAAGTGTACATGTTCCAACCCTTTGACTATCCTGCTGCCCTTACCTCAAAAGCTTTCAGATTTCCAAAGCCTTTCTGATGACTCCCTGGTGGGCAGTGATGACTACTCAGAGATATTCTCCAGGGGGACAAAGTATAGTACCTTGGAACCACCTGAGGAGATTTCTCTTGTCCTCACTTTCCCCATCTATACACTGGAGGACAGCTAAGACCTTTTCCTGTCCCATATCTACCCTCCCTAGTGACCCTCCCTGATCCTCCTTCCTCTCCCTTTGTTTCCCTAAGCTGGGTCTCAGTAGGGCACGCCCACACATGCAGTATGAAATATGATTTCCAAGATTTGGCATCCAAGACACTTCTAAACTTCCACATTTGTCTGGTCTTTTTCCTCTCTCTAGCGCGCTTTCATTCTAATCCTTCACTGCTCCAGTTCAAATGCCAGCTCTGAAAATGTTTTAGTCTCACCCAGCGCTAGAAATCATGTTATTTGTTCCAATCTTTTTTATGAAGCTGTCGGTCCTGGTCCCCCTCCTCCACGTGGTTCCTCATCCACCCCTGCATGCACGATGGATGTTCACTGTGAAAGGAGATGCCCACTCTGCCTGGAGCTACCCAGCCAGGAAGCTCAGTACTCAGAGGCCTGCAGTGATATCCCTTCAGGCAATGCCCTCAATTTGGCAGCGCTAAAGGGCCAAATCCCAGTGCTGCCCCTTCTCTGTGCAGCCCTGGCCCCGTGTGGATTTTCACAGGTGGAAACTAATACAGCTTTTTCCAGTGAGTAAACTGAGGCCCAGAGTGAAGATGAAAATGTCTGGGGTCACTCAGAGATGCAGTCAGACCAGGACCCTTAGTTTGACCAGCCAAGGGCAGCCTGATGAGATACTCAAATTTTACCTGTATTTTAAATGCTGTGCTTCCCTGGAAACCGGTCTTAGCCATACGAGGAAGCCTGAGCAGTGGGGTACAGTTTTTATACCCCATCCATACTTACTGGCAAGGCGGCGGGGGGTGTCAGAGAAAAGTGTGGTTGTACTCTAAAACTCATGCTAATTAAGTTGACTTTCTGCAGATTGCTGACAAAAGCTGAAGTATAGAAAATTCCTAACCATGCTGACTCACCGGGCGCCAGGCTCTGCAACCCTCTATCCGGGGTCCCGGAGAGTGGAATAGGACCCAGCCATTTTACAAAAGGGAAGTCTGAGGCCCTGGGAGAGGAAAAGGGGACCTCGCTGCTCTAATCCCGGCGCCCCACCCCCACCCCCAGCTCCGCTGCGGCCGGCCGCGGGAGACGCGCGGCGCGGAGGGCACAGCGCACTTACATCGAGTTCGAAAGTTCGCAGCACTGTGCGGTAGCCCCCGGACACCGGCGGCAGGAGGCGCAGCACCTCCTTCACTACACAGTCCACGTAGCGCAAACGGCCCAGGGCCGCCAGCGTGAGGTCAGGCTCGCAGCAGCATTCGGGCAGGGTCCCCGCGGCCCCCAGGGCACAACTGCACGCGTGCCCCAGCCCCTGTGTCGCCAGCTCCTGCTGGATCTTGGCAATGGCTGCTGGGTGCTGTAGTAGCAGCAGGACTAGGGACGTGCTGGCACTGGCCGTAGTGAAGAAGGAGGCGAAGAGGAGCTCCACAGCTGACTCCTACAAGACAGCCCAAGCAGCGCTGAGTCTCGGTCACTGCCCCATCGTGGAGACACAAAGGGCGCAAAGTTACTGTTACCCTAAGACAGGCGAATGAGATATGCTATCGTGAAACCTATGTGTGTGGATCCTGGAATCCTGGGATTAAATTCCAAGTCTGTCACTTGGGGAAAGTCACATAGTGCAACAGGCAGTACTGGAATTTATCCATCTACCTTGGGAGAATTTCCAGAGATAATGCTGGGAACTTATTCTGTACATTATCCTTAATCCTTTAAGTATATTTTCTTATTGGGTCCTCAGCATAACCCTGTGAGGCAGTTACTCTCTTTTAATTTACAGGGTTGGAAACCGAGGCATGGAGGGGTGCTGAGTGCCGACAGCTAGCAGTCAGGCCCAGCAGCCCGGTTTGGGCTCTTGATTCCCTGGTGGTGCAGCCGCCAGCCCTTTCTGGGTTTCATGAGAGTGACTGCAGAGAACAGACCAAAGCACTTGCATCCACAGGGCCAGCCTCACACCAATGCCTGCCTCCTGCCTTTATCATCTTGTTTACTGGACTGGTCCCAGGGCGTCACTAAAGCTTTTCCTGGTCTGCTGTGCCCAAGAAGAGAAATTGTCCATCCTTTGCCCAAGAAGGGCACCCTCACTGCCTGCCTCTGGTCCAGCGTCTTCCTTTCAGCACTGGTGTTTGTTTATTCACTGATGCCTGGGATTGTGGGGTGAATATGCACCCTCTCCTTCTGCACCTAGATGGCAGGGTTATTTGCTCATCACATCTCCTATCCTGGCACAGCATCTGATACCTAGTGATATGTGTGGAAGGAATGCTAAATCCTCATCGGAAGCTAACTGCCAGCCCTGCCTTGGACAAGGAGGGAAGCTGGGATGGAAACCTCAAAGCCCAGGATCCCCAGCCTAGCCTCCCTGGATACCCAGACCATTATGAAAGATTTCTGACCAGTGAGTTTCTTCTCTGAGAATGTTGTTTCTCCCTACTCTGTCCCATCAAGGCAGAGGAACCACCCACTTCTTTCTATACCACCTCCCAGAACTGCTTCTAATGGAGATTGAACTCAGGGCCTTCATACTAAGCAAGCTATCTATCTTTCTATCTAGCTATCTATCTAGCTAACTCTTTCTATCACTGTTGTCATCCTTGTCACTGTCATCATCTATCTGTCATTTTGAGACAGGGTCTTGATAAATTGCCCAGGCTGGCCTCAAACTTTTCATCCCTCCCCCAGGACTCATAAGCCTATTGCTTATTCTCTCCAACCTGTTTGATGCATCCGGACTTCAAAACCACCCAAGAATCTGGATGGAGATTATTCATTTTATTCTCAGAGAAGAAACTAATGTTGAGCCCCACCTTTCAGCTGGTGGAAGTAGAAAATTGAGGCCCAGAGAAAGGATGGAGCTGTATATGGAAGATTGAGGTTTTCCTATTTCTAACTTTACTCTGACTTCTACATTTCACTTCTTTTTGGTTCCTTAAGAGGCACTAGGTCATTCTAGAACTCCCTCCTCTCCACTGCAAGTACTCTACCTATACATAGGGAAGGATTCTGGGTCCTAATTTTCCAGGAGAGCCTGCGGTGGCAAAACAGGCAGGTAGTGGTGCCAAGTGCCAAGGTGCCTCATGAAAGGTTGATTTTAGGGAAGAAAAGGGAGTTTTGAGGGTGTGGAATTTGATCCTGAGCTTCTTAGATTTTGTAGAGAAAAAAAAAAAGAAGAGGATTTCATAAGGTAGGACAGCAGAGGAAAAAAACATGGGCATGGGGTGAAAGACTGGGGGTTTGGAGGGATGGGTGAGTGGGCCAGACCTTGGTAAGGATAGGCTTAGAATTCAAGCCTTCAATCCTCTTGGAAGGGTGGCTAGCATTCCAAGGCTACACAGCTAGTGGACATGGCTGAGTTACAACTGGAACCCAGGATCCCTCTTTCCTCACCTGAAGGTGTATGGTGTACCTGTGCCATGAAACAGTGCCAAAGGAGAAGTGGCTGGGGATGCAGCATGTGTGTGGAGACCTTCTGGCAACAAAGAGGGAGGAGTGGCCTCCCTCTGCCTACCTTCAGCTCCTGCACTGAGAGTTCCTGGCCCAGCTCCCTAGCGCTGTGAATGATCAGGTCGAGAGGGTCACCTGGCTCTGCTGCCTTGTCCTCATGAAGCTTTTCAGCAATGGCCTCCTCCAGGTGCTGGTGCAACTGGTCCCTGGCCCGGATGCCCTGATGTACAAGAAGAGAAGGCAGGTGGGGCAGATAGGCTCAGGACCCAGTCTTGGTCAACTTTGCCAGAACCTTCTCAGGACCACACTGGCTCTGCCTGACTTCTGCTATTCATCTGTCAGCTTAGCTCCATGCTTGGCACATAGTTAGGCTCAAAATGGCCAGGAATTTGTCCACTGTCCAAAAATATTCTATCTAGATCATAAACCCCATTTGAACAAGGAGGAGAGACACTGTCATCTTGGGGGGAGGACACTGAGGCTCAGAGGGGCCCAGAGATTGTTCAGTCACATAGCTGTCAGGGCCCAGCCTGGCACAGAGCTCAGTCAGGGGAGTCAGCCCACTGCCCTTTCCTTACACAAGGCTTAGGCTGGGGCACTGTGTACCAGTTCAGAGAAGGGGCACCCAGGAAAGCTCTCACTTAGAGGACACAATTGGATGCTCTAAGTACCAGCCTCTGTACCAGGGTGGGCAGGAGGGCTGGAATGCCCTTTCAGGGTTCTAGGAACAAGCACATTAAAAACATTCCCCTGGGAAAACACTGAAATTGAGCATGTGACTTTTGTAGCCAGAAATATCAGGTTCAGATCCTGTATTTGCCCCCACCTGGCTGTGTTCTTCTTTAAGTCACTTAACCTCAACCGAGCTTCTTTGGTCAATAAAATGAGAGTAATAACATTTTGTAGGCAATAAGGATCAAATTAAAAAATGTATCAATGCACAACATGACCCTCAATACATATCTATTATTTTTATTCAGGTGACTGAAATCCAGGGAATCTATACAATGATACGTCCCAGAGTACAGGATGTGGGAGCACATGCCTGTAATACCAGCAATGGGAGGCTGAGGCAGGAGGACTACAATTGAGATCCCAGTTTAGGCAATTAAGTAATGTAGAGAAACTCTGTCTTGAACATTAAAAAAAAAAAAAAAAGCCGGGGGATGTGGGTCCTGCAAAGACCTTGGGTTCAATCCCCACTGCACGGAGTGGAAAGGGACTCCTCTAAGGGCTGAGGGAGAGGGAGGGTGGGGTGAGGCCTTCTTGCTGCTCTCTGGGTCTGAAGTCGGAAGACTGATCCAGAAGCTAGCGGACCCAGTACCCTGAGCCGGGAGCCGGCACCCCCCGCCCCATGCAAACGCCCACTCCACCAAGGCTGGTGTTGGATTGGGTTGGGGATGTGTCTGAAGCCCTAAAGTTCCTGGCTGTTCCAAAGCCATCCAGGCTTCCAAAAAGGTGTTGGAGACCGCTCAGGGTGGTGTCGCTCTGGGGAGGAGTGACCGATCGGTGGGATGTTTGCACAGCGCATCAGAACAGAAGCAGCGCTGGCACCCACTACCACACCACTCTGCCTCTCCACGCTGGGCCACACCTCCATCTTCCGGCAGGAAGTGATGGGGGGTTGCTCCCGAGAGCACCCCCATCTCAATTAGGAGACCCATGTACTCGGAGGAGCCCCAAGAGGAAGTTCTGGGGCCAGGCGGTAGTACCTTGCGCAAGCCGCTGAAGGGCACGTCCAAGGGTAATGAGAAGAGGTTCTCCACCAGCTGCTCAAAGGTCCGGGCCAGTTCGGTACATCGTACCTCGTCCAGCCGCAGACCCAGTAGGATGCGCGCGGCCATGCGGAAGGTGAGCGCCTTGGCAGCCTCATAGACAGCTACGGGTCCTCTAGCAGCGCACCAGGAGCGCACCTCACGCCGCAGTGCCCCCTGCAGGCGTGGCACGTAGCGTTCCAGTGCTGCGCGGCTGAACACACGTGCGAGGACCTGTGGGGAGCTTGCGGGATCAGCTCTGGCGGCAGGTAGGCCTTCCCTGCTTCGCAACTCCAGAGAAGACAGAAGGCCAATTCTGGTCTCTTCCTCTCTCCATCCCTCTAGTTCTGCTACGATGATATCCATAAGTCCCTCCCAAACCATCCAGGCTCCAGCTGCTACCTGCCCCACCAAGTCTTCCCAGACATGTCTAGATCTGCATCTCCAGTGCCTCTGGTATCACAATCACATAAGATCAGAAATAAAAGGAACCTATAGGCCAGTCTTGGTTTTGTAATTCAAACCCGGAGAATGTAAGGGACCGGAGCAAGGCCATCTACTCTTGACCAGGGAATTAGGTTGGAGTGTTCAATACACCTCCACACCTGGCTCCGGCTTGGCTCACAGCAGGTGCCCCGGGACCGTGGGTCTCACATTCTCCTGCCCCCCACCCCGCCCCCTCACCTTTCGCCGCTGGCGGTGTGGCTCACCAACCGACCCCAGGAGGGTATGCGAGCCTAGCAGGATGTGCGCGCTCTGAGGCCACTGACTGCGCACCAAGCGGTGCTCGCCCAGCAGGATGGTGCGCACGTTCTCTGCGCCGCTCACACGGATCACTGGCCTGCCCAGCAGGTGTGTCTTGAACACTGTGCCGTAGCGCTCCCGGCGGGAACTGTGGAAGCTAGAGCCCTGTGGGCAAGGCGGAGATTGGAGCGCTTAAAGTCTCACACTCGCTAGAGATCTGGCTCAGGCCTCCCAATTGGCAAGGGATAACAATTCCCTGCCTCAGGCTGGCCCATTATTTTTTTTTTACAAAGCAGGGACTCAAACGGACCTTGCTAGTAGCCTACAGGAATGTAGATGTTCTCATTCCCTTTGGTAAACTGAGGAAACAGGTTCGGAATGGGGGAAGCAAAGGCTGAAGGCTGATTCTAGGCTTGCAAGACAGGCTCCTGAAACCCCTTCCAGAGCCCAATTTCAGTTTACTCTTAAGCTCTGGGGAGAACTGAGGTGACAGGAGGTCCTTTCGAGGGAATCAGAGTAGCTAGGAAAAGGCAAGGGTTGTAAGTGCTCCTCGGGGTCCTGGGCGATTGGGACAGGACTGGTTAGAACCCTGGGAGCATTTCGAATTAAGAAGGTCCAGTGGGACCCGTGCAAGAAGGGGCCGTGTGACGTTGCAGGAAACGATGTACTGCTCACCTGAACCAACCAATGCAGGGTTTCGCCGAAGAAGGGCCAGCCCATGGAGCCCTTGGGCAGGGGTAGGGCAGAGGCCGGATCCCGGCTCAGCGTCCAGCGGAGGGTCCAGAGGTGCTGGGCCAGACTAAGCAGCAGGCCGGTGCACAGGAGAGCGGTGCCTGCCACTCCCAGCAGCCATAGGCAGCTCAGCCCCCAAGCAAACATGATGAACCTGCCGGGGCTAAGCCGCTGGGAGCAAAGAACTGGATGGAGAATAATGCACAGATCTCACCTGTTACTCAGAAAGGCCCCGAGGCGGCTTGGGGCCCAAGCCTGAGATTAATAGGCTTAGACAAAAACTCGGTTCTAAAAACAGACTAGCAAGGGAAGGTGGCAGTCGCAGTGCGCCCTTGGGGAACTTCTTTCCCAAGGCAGGCGCACTCAGCACCTTTTCCCAGTTCCTAGTCCCTCTCATACCCAGCACCCGCGGGGCACTCTCACTCCTCCCCAGATCAGAGATCCAAGGCTAGAAGCGCTGAGGAAAGGCGAAGCGAGGAGCAACTCACCAGCGTTGTGGACCAGGGCTGAGATCGCCCGGGGCAGCAGACCCCGGCCCCACCTCTTTCTCTCCACTCTTTTTTAACCCTTCTCGGCCTACCCTGGAGGCACTTATATAGGTATTGGCTTCCTCCTTATGGACTGATCCCGGTTCACACATCGTGATGTGTCTACGCATATTTAAGGCGCTCCACGCAGGGTAATGATTGGAGGCGGTGGGTAGCGTGGCACTCATCCAGGGACTGTGAATAGGGAGTGGCCCTGGGCAGTGGGGCGAGCCGGAGGGCATCCTTGGGCGGGGCCTGTGGTTTCCCTCCAGAACTTCCCGATTGCGCATGAACTCCAGGAGCCGGCAAAGTGGAGCGCTTAAAATCCGGGCTGGTGCCCCTGCAGCGCTCCAGGCCCATCCTTAGCCACTGGCTCTTCTGGGATCTCCACCCTCGGGCTACTAGATGCCCTTCCCCTCGCCATTCCAAGGTTAAAGGCCTGGAGCCTCTCCCCTTTGCTCGGTCTCTTTCGGAGAAACAGGATCAGAAACAGGATCGAAAGGGAATCATCCACTCCATCAGCACGTCCAAAGCTCAGAAGCGATAGCTGGGGCACTGGTTCTCTTATCTGAGACTTCAGGAATCCTTCAAGAGACGGTAGTTTCATTGCTGCCAGAGCTTCACAGAGAAGTCCAAAGCCTCTGTGAAGCATGTATCCCTGGGAGCCTTTCAGGTCTCAAGGACTAAATTCTCTCCTTTTCTCTCCCTCTCCCGAATCCACCTTAGGATACCTCATCAGTGTCTGTGATTGTATCTAGGGCTTTGTGTCCCACCTTAGAGCTCAAAGTGCCTCAGGTCTCCACCGTGCAACTGAGTGGGGGGAGGGAAGTGTAAAGTGGGGGATTGGATTATTCATTGGTTTAAGTAAAGGAGAGCCACAGGGGCCAACCAGGTCCAGGTGTTGTGAAGACCGGACCTCTCAATCCCAGGGGCCAAAGCGCTGTGGGGGGGGGCAGGCATCCCAAGTACCCTAGAGGGCTGGGTAAGGAAGCAAGGGACAGCCACATTCCAAGTCTTCAAAGAGAAAGCTGCTTGTCTCCCAAAGTCCAGATTTTATTGTGTCTGAAAAATTACCATTTTTTCCGTGTAATATTTTAAAAATGTGAAATACTTCAGGATGAGAAACAAATGCTTTTTGTGCTGTTTTGGTGCCACTCCCATTCCAATAATTAGAGAATAATATTCCTTTTCTGAAGGAAACAGTTTTAAATCAGGAAGCTCTGAATAGACAAAATAGCAGTGCATTTTCAACAACTTGCTCAACCTTTAATATTTCATCACAAAATCAAGAGATGTAAAGTATAGTTTTCTTACAGGTATTAATCCTGATAATGCAAAAGGAGTATTCGGCATAAATGGAACAGAGAAAATAAAGATCAGATTTACATTGCCATTTACCTCAACTTACACAAAGAAAAACGTACGTTTTAGGTTTTCCAGACTTCAGTTGATTTGGTCTGTTTCCACAGTGAGGATATAGTAGTGAGATCTGCTGTTTGAAGAAAATTACTCAAGTCCTGTAGTACTTTCTGTGTGTAGGAAGAACATACCCACTCCAGTATAAGCTGCACCTGAAGTGGTTATCCCCCATTAATTTGTCCTTTCCTAACTTGAACCAAACCAAACCAAACCAATCTACACTGGGGTTGGCTACAAGCATTACATATAGACATCAACTCTGATGAGCAGAAACAACACTGCATCCTTAGAAAATCCAAAACATTTCCTTCATATTTAGAACATTTAAATTAAACCACCAAATAATTTACATTCTTACTGAGTTAGGATTTCAAGGAGGTTTAAAGATTTGTGTATTTCCCCCTCAGAATGAGCAGAATTAAATTTTTTAGTCTATTTAAATCACATTGAGATGAAAATAAAAGCTAAATCAAAATGACAGTGAAATACTCCTGTATCTGACATGACTGCATTCTAAAACCATATACCTGAGAAAAAACACATCATTCAAGTTTAAATACAAAAAAATACATATAAGGAGAGGCTTAAGTTTTTCTAATGTATTTGCAACCAGTTTCATATACAATTTTTGACTTGATTACATACAGTTTTGCCTTTTCCCCCTAAAATTGAAAAAAAATTGTCACATTTTCCATATATAAAAAGTATTCAATTACTTAAAAATCCATACAAATGATATTATGATTTCTTGTTTAAGCCCTCATCAGTGTATTTTCAGTGCTGCATTTTAAAATTCTGTAAACAAATTACTGTATCATGACCCATGCTTGTTAGAGATCAGTGTTCAGTCACGGAGATCTGGTGTCACTGAGTGCAAGTGATGTGAAGTCTATGCGTGCTGGGACATACCATTCACCAAACTTCTCAGCTGTTTCACGACTGTCTCTATCAATTTCTGCTTGTCTCGATCATTCTTCCTGAACTGAGCAAATATATTGTTTTTTTTGCTAGTATCCTTTATCCTACAAACATGTAAATGAAGAAGGAAATTAAAAGCTATAGCTGTCACAAGTAAAATATCCTGGAATGTTCTGAATTATCTCACAGTAATCCCACGCTTGAAAAATACACTTCAAAGAAAATAGGTACTAATAAACTCATAGATACAGAAACCACACAAAAATTAGCAGCTTCATTTTGCATTTTACACAAAGAGGTGATTTTGCATTAGCACGTAAATCTAAAATATGCTAATTTTTCAAAAATACTATTTTCTAATATCATTCCATAAAATATGTTAAAATATCCTTTATGGACTCTATAAATCACATTCATAGCAAGACAAAGTGAAAGAAAAAATAGCATTAGAAATTTAAAACAGCAATGTTTTTGCCTCAGTAATGTTCAACAACATTGTAAAATAAAATTTATATTTATTTTAAACAGTTCCTTATGTTCTTTCAAATCAAATACACCACCGATATTTTGAAATGTGGAAAATATATAATTTTAATTTAAAGATTGAAAATTTTTACAGTGATGTTTGTGATATGATTGATCGAGTGAAGATACAATCTGCCACATGAGGGAGCATCTCAATCTGTATTTAGCTGGATAAAAATGCACTAGTAAATCCTATCACCTCAGTTTTTAAAATATTATATTTTTTCAAAACACATTATTTCTCTGTCAAGAATCCGTTTAAATAGCACTGGTGACAAACATCCCAATTCCTAGCCATATTTTACAAAATATCTTCTTTCCTGTAGTATAGGGATGTTTTGTTTTGTTTTAAATAGCTCCAGTTTCCAGGTCTCACTTATAACTTCAGCAAACATATTTTTCTTTTTCTTTTCTGGTACATGCCAATCAAGCTCTACCACTGAGGAGCTACATTCACAGCACTCCAGTAAAGATATTTCTAAGGCCGACTAAGCCTACAATTCAGGATACAACAGGAAAAATGTTTTCTTCACATCAATATAAACAGCAACTGCATATGTAACTATACCAATTCCAAAGGGCAAGAAAGACTTATTTTTAAGTCATTAAGATGGACTGAGCTTTTAAGCTTTATCTATACATTTCTTTTCATGGAAATTTTCAGTTTTTCATTTGTCACAGAATCAAAGCCTGGTAAAATGCTATACAAAAATGTTTTAAAAATATACTCACTTCTCCAAAAGAGTAAGGGCTGTGTTTGGATTCACTCGAAGGTACTTAGAAGCTGGCTGTCCATAGTCAGCTAGATAAGTAGACCAATCCCAGACCATAAACAGATCAAGGAGCTGAGGAAGATGAGGGAAAATGTCACATCAACTTTTGAGTATTTACTCATACATAAATCAAACAATGTTATTCTTGGTATATAACATTTTAATATGACTTGCTTCTCAGACTAAACAGAATAAGGAAAATTTAAGAACTCTATTAACTGTACATTTTGTTCAAAATAGTGTACATTATCTTTTTACTTTAAAATTACTAAAAGTGTCAATAGCTGCTTTTCAATAAAATATTTTTGCATTTCAAATAATGATAAATACTCAAAATATTCTTGTATTATATTAATTATGTAACTCTTTTACTGATGTTTGGACATATCTTTACACATTATTCAGTTAGTACTCTAATAACAATTGGTGCTATTGAAAGGACCTTTTTAGAGCTATGTTTATCTTTCAAAGAAGCTGTTTGCACCTAGACTTTTCTAAAGTAATTTAAACCAAAAGTTCAGATAATCTCAATTAAGTGTATTAAGCAACTTCTGTTGGATTCTTCTGTTGGTTACAGACCTTCAGTACTATTATAAAACAAGGGCTTCAGGATTCAGCCTATTAACTCTAGGCAATCATTTTGTACAAACAAACAAAAAAGAAACCCTCATGTTTTCCATAGTGTCTTTAAATTGACTATTTGGTTTATAAACTCCAGTTAGAATCATTGTCAAATATGGAAGTAATCTTTTAAAAGCAATGCCATGCCTTAACCAAAGCAAAAAACTCTTTATCCAACTTTAAAACCCTAATCCCCTTTAAGCCATTTAAAACCAACTTCCTATTCCCTTCTGAATTGTTTCAAAAAGCTAAATGGTTTACTTACTGCTTCCTTTAGTTTTTATATTATTCTTGTTTTGTTTTAACTCGCTTTATAAGTAAGGGGTCTACTTGGTTGCTTTAAATGAAGGAAGCATTTATATTTACTCACAGGATATGTAAACTAATCTAGTGCTTCTGACAAGGATAAAACTTTTAGGGTGATTAAAGCCATCTAAAGGAAGGCTAGCTTTTTCTTAGGAAGGTAAGGGACTTGTTTGACTCTTTCCCCATCCAATTAACTACTGTATTAGTACATTCTTGTAAGAAGTGGAAAACTATAACAAAAATATTAACTATTAAAAGCCACTCTATTTATGTTCAGGTAACATTCTAAGCCATACCAAAAGTTGAAACATTGGTGTAGAAACTATCCTGAGACAATGTAAAGAATGTCTGAAAAAGAAAAAAAGAGCTGTTTTTTGGCAACAAGTACATTTTCCTCTCCTTTCACAAGGAGAGAAAGTTCTTTCATGCACTCAACTGGTAAGGGTGTAGTTGATATAACTTCTCTGGAATGTGATTCTGCAATGTGTTTAAGAACCTTATAAAAACGGCCATTCTCTTTGACTGAGTAATCATACTTCCAGAATTATAACTTCAGGAAGCAATAATAAAAGCACACAAAAATTTACGTACAAAGCTAATAATCTTAAAAATGTTATTTGGTTATCAACAAATTGAAAATAGCCTAAATCTCATAGTGGGGTATAGCTGAATGATGAATATCATGTGGCTATTAAAATTAATGTTTATATTAGAACTTTAAATTATCTGAGATGTTCACAATAATATTGTTACTTAATTACAAAAAAATCCAAAAGATTTAACTAATTTGAAAAACTTTAAGAATGGTTATTTGTATGGTGGGATTATGAGTTTTAACTGTTATTTTCAAAATACTCTACCTAGCGGACATGTGTTAATGTGATAGTTAGAAATAACTATATTTCAATAATGAATATCCCTCATATAGTGGTCAGTAAAATCTCATTTTGAAGGATTCCTCTTTCAGGTGTATGTATGCTTGCACAAATATATGCAACCATGCACAGTCAGCAGAAAGTAACCACTTAATATACTGGCTGTAATCTCTCTTTCTTTTCAAATGGCATTACTAATGTGACCTCTGGGATACAGAAGGAGTCTTTAATAAGGTCTTTTTCTCTTAGGCTGATTTACCCCCTAGATGGGAAACGAGGAGCCTACTTAATGAAATAAAAACCTATACCAACTCCAACTGTGAATACAGAATTGGTTTTTCTATAGCACAAAACAGACTTTCCTAGATAGAGAAACACTATGCTTATAATTTTCACATATAGTCAGACATATATACAGAGCTCTCCTATGCAGACACTCATATGCAAATCACTGGAAATTATAGGAATCATAAAATGTAATCTAGCTGCCCACATTTACCCAAATCTAAAAAAAAACATTTAAAATACATTTTATACAGTTCATCTGTAGACATCTGTAGAAATCTGCACATTAAAGTTTTTTTTTTCTTGGTACCAGGGATGGAACTTGGGACCTTGCCTTGCACTTGCGAGGTGGGCGCAGGAACCACTGAGCTAAATCCCCAGCATTGAAGATTAAGGAATGTATTGCCAATGTATTGCCAATGTGGATAAAATCAAAGATCAAGGAAAAATTCATTTAGTCATTCAACAAATAAATATTGGTTGCCCAGCTACAATCTGCTAGATGATGATAGGTACTGGAGATACAATATTGAATCAGGCAATGTCCCTTTCCTAAAGGTTACATTTTAAGTAGGAACATGGTTAATAAGGAAATAATATTTTGATGTTAACATAAAAGATTTAAAAGAAAAACACTATTCATGTAAAATACTAGTAATTTAAACTATACACACAAGGAAGTCACTATCAGCTTAATATAGAGTAAGGTAGAAACCACTGATTTCTTGCTCATTACTCTCAGCCTTTGAATCTAATGGCATTAGCATTACCATTGTGTCTATGTCCTTAAGGATACATGGATGTGGAGAAGAGGAAAGATAGGGTGGGCAAGCATGCTGATTTCATACTCTAATTTCTCATTTCCATGTCTATAAGGCTTTCTCATCTGTACAATACTGCTGGAATCAGAAAATACAAAAACAATTTCACAAATCTCATAGACAAACTTAAGAGTATGCTGAGCACAGTGAAGCCAATCAGCAGGTATTCAAGAAATAACTAATGATGCCAGACCACTACTCCAATTTACTGAGCTTTTCTAAATTCAACGAACACAAAACCTGAGCACAATAGAGAATACTCTGGTATATGCTCACTGAAAAAGGCCAATATTGGTTAGCAAGCAGACTGACAACTGATTGCAGTCCACTAACTTCCCTCCATGTCTCCTAGGCTTTCACTAGGGTATTGATAAAGAGGGTAGAGTCTCTCATGATAGTATTAAAGCATTAGGTCTAAATATTGAGTTAAATGATCTTCCTAGAGGAAGCACTACCAATATTTTTGAATGATTTACCAATACCTTTCATCTTTATTTATTTATTTATTTATTTATTTATTTGGAACCAAGGATCAAACTCGGGATCCTGTGCTTTTGAGGCAGGCGGGGGAACCACTGAGCTAAATCCCCAGCCCTACCTTTCATCTTTAACAATAACAATTTTACCATCCTTCTTTTTCACTTATAAAATAAGTTGAAGTGAATTGTGTAACACTAAACCAGGACTTTAGGTGGCATATACCTGTAATCCCAGCTACTTGTGAGTCTGAGGCAGGAGGATCACAAGTTCAAGGCCAGCCTAGGCAACTTAATAAGACCTTGCCTCAAAATTTAAAAAACAAATTTGAAAAGCAGGGTGTGATAGTGTGGTGTACCTCACTGGTACTGCACTTGTCTAGCACATATGAGGCCTTGGGTTCAAACCCCAGTACCCAAAAAAAGAATACATGACTTTATTCTTTGGTCCCACCTGACACCATGCCAGGCTAGATTTTTAAGGACTGAGCCCATTTCCACATGTTGCTACGCATGCCTGTTCTGACCAAGAAGCAAAAGCCCTGTTCTTTGATTGTGACAGCTTAAAAAGAATCTCACTGCTCCAGCGTAACAGTGTGATGAGAAGGGAAGAGGAATCTGGAGTACTACCAGGTACCACCACTGATGCTTAGCTTCACTCTGTACCACTATCATTGCCTTGGGGACTGCCTCTCACAGTTGGTCAGATTTCACAAGAGGTAATATGTTTTTAATATTAAAACCTCAATTACAGACAACTTTACCTCTATTTCAAGTTTTGCTTCCTTCAGATGGCAGTGCATAAATAATGTATTTGTTTCTAATCACACAAAATCTTTCAGTCTTGTAAACAAACAGACATAGTCTCAACAGATGAACTTACGACTTAACACATATATCTGAAGTTCAAAGATGTAGAGCAAACATGAACAGAACAAAAATCTCAGATTATCCAAAAGCAATTTTACAATTACTTATTAAAGGATAAAGTCACACATGATAATGAAAGTTGATATTAAATTCTATAAATGGGTCCATTTCAATAGTAATATAATTTCATCTTAAATTCTTTTGGGAAGTAAGCAAAATATGGACCATATAAAAATGAATAGCAAAATTATGTGCCTCAGTTCTATGTCATGATTTATAAGATTTTCTGAAAGTATCTAGTTTTTTTCAGAGATTCAAACATACCCTTCACAACTAGTCTGAAAACATAAAGTGGATTTATGCCAATATTTGTGAGTTATAAGTTTCACTTCCTCAGTGCTCCCTGTGTGTCTAGTAAACAAAAACATCAGTTTAAGGAAAGAAATAGTTGCATGGGTAGTATTGTTTATATGCTCCAAATAGTTGAATCACTGAAGAATTCAACCCATTTAGCTTGCTGACAGTTTCCCATCCAGCAGATTCACTCCCAATCTACACCCAAGAAACTTAGGGTCAAAAAAAAAAAAGAAACTTAGGGTCTCAGACCTGTTGAGATCACTTTGTGAAAAAGACACAATGAATTTAGGCAGACTTAAAACCATTCTATGGAACTCTCCAAGTGGTTCTTTTCCTTTGTAAAAATGAACCCATGGTGCCAAGTCATTTTTTCCTTGAATCTGGTTTAGCTTTCATTGTTTTGGGTCTTTTGGATTTTGCTTTTGAAGCACCTCAGAGGCAGTGACCCAAGACAGAAGATA